TAGCAGGCTTAGAATTTAGACAAGAGAAAAATCTTCCTCATCGTCAACATTACCTATGTCATGCATATGCAGCCTGTTCCAAGAAGAGCCATTGAAAGGATTTAAGCATAGGGTGAACATGATCCCAGCTACACTAAGAACTACTTCAAACAAAAAAATATGATTTAAATTTCTGTATCATCAATATAGTTAGCATAACACCTTGAACAAAATGATAGGTGTGTATGCTTTCTCTCGTTCCGCCAATATCACTGAGCACCTACTGTGTACATCGATATGGTAGACTGTGGAGTCACAGTCATGAGGAGGGCATTCACAGTCATGAAGAGCTGCACGGAGCTTACACTTTTAATTGAAGAACTATTAGGGGCGCCTGGGTGGCTCAGTGGGTTGAGCGTCTGACTCTTGATTTCGGCTCAGGTCATGATCTCATGGTTTGTGAGATTGAGCCCCGCATTGGACTCTGTGCTGACAGCATGGAGCCTATTTGGGATTCTCTCTCTCTCCCTCTCTCTCTCTGGCCCACCTCTGCTCGCTCTCTCTCTCTCTCTCAAAATAAATAAATAAACTTTAAAAAACAAAGAACAATTGGATAAACAGCAAATTAAACAACTAATTGTGGAATTACATTTATTAGAAGTCCTGTAAAGGAAAAAAGCAGGGTTCTATAAACACATTTCACAGGCAGGTTGACATGGTTTTCAGATCAGGCCAGGAATCCCTGAGGAAGTTACATTTAGCAAGGCAGCGGTGAAGTAGGTGAAGGAGAAACTGGGCGGGGGGGGGGGGGGGGCCCGGTTTGGAACATTCCAGGTAGACAGAACCATATATATAAGGGACCAGAGGCAGGAAGGCGCAAGGCATTTTTAAAAAATTGAAGGAGAAGTAGGGGGTAGAGCAGAGAGAACACGAGCAGAATGATGGAAATAAAGCTGTTGAAGTGAGCAGGAGCCAGGTGTAGGTCCTTGTAGACCGTGTTAAAATGTTTTACCCCATGAGAACAGTCATTGAAAGGATTTATGCATGGTGTTCACATGATGAGATCTATGTTTTTTTTTTTTTTTTTTTTTTAAATCACTGGAAGGTGGAGGCCATATGAGGATAAAGGGATATCAGATGATGGTAACTTGGACTGAAAGAGTGATTGTGGAGATGGAAAGAAATGGTGAAGTTGAGAGCTACTTAGGAACAAGAGGCATTTGGGAGGATGCGGGAGACGACGGAGTTGAGATGACTCCTAGGTTTCTGGTTTGCATGATGGAATATAATAGGCGTCATTCACTGGGAGAAGGAAACATGGATGGGAATCAATGGAGTGTGGTGGGCTCGCTATCAGTTTTACACGCATTGTGTTTGTTGTGCTCATGAAACATCCAAGAATTGTTCGAGGTGGGGGGGGGGTGGCAGTGGAAGCTCAGAGGAAGGGTATGTGCTGGACACATAGATTTAAGAGTGATCGTGGTCAAGTGAAACTGGGCTCCTAAGGAGAAAGAATAGAAGGCTGAGCTCATATTCAATAAACTGTTGTCAAGAATTCCGGATCGTCTTTACATGAGATAAACACCTTCCTTCCTGTGCCATCTTTATTTTCTCTGGGTAAGTTAGGACCTCATTGTGACACAGTCCTGCTAGAAACTTAAACTTGTGCCCTGGAAACCCCTTAATGTGAAATCTTTATATTATATAATGAGAGTACAAGGGTGGGAGACCATCCCTCAAACTCAGTCTTTAAAGGATGTTACTGTTGTTATCAAAATATTTAACAGTCTGATGTCTTGCATATCATCTTGGTAAACACCAGCTGTATACAGTCACTTTATATCCAGCAGGTCACCTCTTCTACTCATTAGTAGGAAATTGGAATTTAAATTTAGCTATTGCATGTCTTTGTAAAGTTTATTAACCTTCTCTAGTTTTCTGATTTCCACGAGGCTCTTCCTTACCTGACATTGCTATCTCTCTGTAGAGTCACAGATTATCAGGGTTAGAGAGCTTTTTATTGAAGTCCTCCAATTTTTCAAAAGAAGAAAATGAGGTCAAAGGGAGACGATGGCTTGAGCCACATGGTAAGTTGGTAGCATAGCCAGGCATCACCCTCCGAGCCTCCCGCCCTGAGCTTAGAAGTACACTGTTTCTTCCCTTAACCATGACTTTAAATGTCTCTTCTCAGAATTCTGAAGCTTTGTAAAGTTTAAAAGAAACTCATTAGTTGCACATTAGGCTCTCCCAAAAGGAAATGCTGCACTTGTTCCTTTGAAGCCTTACTGGGGAAAGTACTACTTAGAGAGAAACTGTTATTCTAGCTCCCATTCACAGAGGGGCACCAGAGCAGCTGTGGGTCTGATCTCTCTTCTCTTCTAAATTAATGGCGGCAGAAGATCTGGTTCCCTTTTTCTATGCTTCTTTCCTCCACCCCCCCCCCCCCATAAATCACTTTAATTGTGTGCACATCATCTACTTCAGAGTCTAAGGGAACCTGATACTTGTTCTAGACTCACTCCATTCTCATCAGTCTAATACCAAAACCCCTCTCCAAATGGAAAGATCCATTATTCAGTGACAGCAGGACACTGACAGGCACTTAGGAAGCTAAAAGGATGAGGGGAGCAAAGGTCTCCCATTACCTCCTTAAACCTTTTTTGTCAGCTACTCATATGCATTTAACGTGTAGCACTTCGCTTGTGAATTTCGGTTTGCCTCCTTTCCTACCAACAATTTCTCCTAATTGTTCCATTCTTCTAAGACACTACAGCCTGATATAGCACCTTTGCCTTCTTCTCAAAATGTTCTGAAAGACTAATTTGATCCTTAAAGAACAAAAAGTTAAAAGCTTTTTGTGAGTAATCAATTCCCTGCAAGTTTGCTAATATTTTTCTGTTTCTTGGTAGCATGTTCCACAACATAGGCTGATAATCTCTTTAAAAACTCTGATCCTTAATCGTGATGTAATGTTTTAAGAAAAATGCATACATAGCGTGTACTAGATAATGGTTGATTATGGTTTTGTTAAAAATTTACACCTGCAAATACCTAGTTAGAAATAGCTGCCCCTTAGAATTCAAGAAAGGTACATTGGAGGGATAGACTCCAGTGAAAAGCCCTATCAGGATCCAGATTTAGCTTTTAACAAAGACCCAAACTTAAAATATTAGCTTCAATATGATAGAAGGTTATTTATCGGGAGATCTCCAATCTCTGGATATAGGGTTTCAGAAACCTAAGCTTCCTCTGTGTGGCTTCCTGCTCTTGTCTACATGGTTGAAGATGGGTCACCAGTTCTGGGCCCACACCGCAACAGCAACAAGGAGGAAATGAGCTACAGGAAAGCACAACCATCATTTTGAAGAGCACATTCAGAAGGGCTCACTTCCCATTGGCTGGTATGAGGTCACATGGCTGCACCTCCCAGCAAAGGAGGCCAGGAAATGTCCTTAGCTGGGCAGGACATTTGCTCAGCTAAAACTTGGAAAGCTTATTACTGAAGAAAGAAGGGAGTGTGGGATACCAAGGAACAACTCTCAGCTTCTGTCATTCGTAAGAGATTAAGTTGTAAGTAACGGAGAAAATTTATTACTTTCATTTGTTAAGCCAAGGAAATTTATTCGACATGGAAAAAAAAGTGGAAGAATATCTGTGATCGTCACCTCCCAAAGCTATCTATTAAAATCCAGCCGAGTCTGTGGGAAGTGATTTTGGAAATTAGTCCTTCTAAAATTATTCCTTCTATTCTTGGGGTGATCATTTCACTGTGTATACGAATATCAAATCCTTACATTGTTCACCTGAAACTAATGTAATATGCCAAACGATCCCTAATTAATTAATTAAGTCCTTTTGGAGTTCTATAAAGATAATGGGAGAAAAGGCCCTGCTGGACCAGAGCCCACATGAGGGTCAACCTTGCTAGGGAGCATGCTCAAGGAAAGGGAGGACAGCAGACCTCAGGGGGTGAAGCTGGAGGCACCAGATTATGTGCGTTTGCCTTAGCCACAGAACTTTGACTATCAGAGTTGAGAAGGAAGCAGAATCGTCTCCCCTAGTGAAGGAAGGACAACTAAAACAGGGGTAACGAGGCCTGGCAACTATTTATTGCACACCTCCTATGTGCCGGTCATTATGCCAGGCACTGAGGAGGGTGCAATCAATAAGATGTCATCTCTGCCTTCCCAGCAAGCTTGCAGTCTGGCAAAGGACAGAAGCATGTAACCCACACTGGCCACTATGAAACAGTGAGGCGTGTGCCACAACTGAAGGCATCTAGCAGGCTATAGGAGCACGTGAGAAAGTGATCTCCCAAATCGTGAGTCAGGAGAGGCTTCTCAGAAGAATTGATGTTTACACGGAGTCCCCAAGTAGGAGTTGAAGGAATAAAGAGTGTTCCAAGCCAAAAGTAAAGCATGTGCGGTGTAAAGTCACTCCTGAGGGTGAGGTGACCCTAGATCAGGTCCGGGATAAAGAAAGATCCAAAAGATTTACAAAGTCAACTTAGTGTATGCATCCCCAGTATTTGGCTATTTAGAGACATCATCTCTTCATCCTTCTCTCCCATCCATCCATCCATCCATCCATCCATCCACAGTAGATGCTGAGATGTTTGAATTCATTAATTTTTAAAACTGTTACTGAGAAACCTAGTTTTGCCAGGCACTGTGCCAAGTGATAAAGAGGGCATAAAGATACACAAAACATTATCCCCAGTGATGTGAAGCTTAAATTTTAATTGAAGAGATAAATCTGTGCACATATTACTAGATACGCAAGCTGCATAGAACATGCCTAAAACGTGTCCTAAAACATGCCCTAAGAAGTTACCGCTGGCAGGGGTCATGTTACCTGGAGGGAAATGTAAGTTTCAGGGCTAACATTACCAGACCAACATCAGACTGAACACTCTCCACATTTCTCATGTGTCTGTGTTTGCTTATTGGGTTTCTGTTTTGTTTTGTTTTGTTTTGTTTTGTTTTGTTTTGTTTTGTTTTCTGATATTTGTTCTTCCATAGATTCTGTGGCAACAGCGTCCGGGCCACTGCTAGTTGAAGTTGCCAAAACTCCTGGTGCCAGCCTTGGGGTTGCCCTGACTACCTCGATGTGCTGTAACAAACAGGTCATTGTCATAGACAAAATCAAATCTGCAAGTATTGCGGACAGGTGAGTGTTGTAGAAAGTGCCTACGTTTCAAAACTGCATGAGTGTTAAAATAGATATCTACATGTATTTCCACACGCATATACACACATGTAATACATACACATATACACATGCCTTCACATACGTACATATCTGATTTTAAAAAGAGCTCTTCTGCCCATCTATACAAGTTTCATCAAGAAAACAAGTTACGGTTCTAGGGCTTAAAAATCAACCCACCTGTCAGCCACCCCAGATGTTATGTTGCCTCATCCAGACGTTTGGTGTGGCCTTTAGCAATAGGAAAAAAAGGAAGTCAAGCAACTGAACAAGTTTCCCTACCATGTTCTAGGGTGATAGATTGGTTTTGCTGTAAGGTAGCTAAGTATATCTTTTGTGTGCTCCATTTAGAGAAGTCATGGGTTTTCGTGAACTGTTAACAGTTAAATCTTGCCACCATAAAATCTTATTCCTTTTTTCTTAAATAAGTAAAACAATATTTTTGAAATAATGCAGTCTTTAAAGAGAAGTCTTATGCTGTCACGGAATGTTAATCTTAGGGTTTCACAATCTTCAAGGGCCCCTGAAAACATCATTCATTCCTATGACACAATAAAAACAAAAGCCCTTTTTCCTGAGTTCTTTTTGCGAATTAATATTTTAGACTTACAAGGTGAGAAGGGGGGGAAGAAAGACTACCTCACCCCCTAATAAGTTATTTCACAGCTCCTGATAGGAACTCCCCCCCACCTTCACAGCTGAAGCTCTTTAAGTGTTTCCACTTGAACTTTTATTTTTAGACAGAAGGGATGAGTTGAAATGCTTTTTTGTCTTGAGAAGTAGACTGTTTTCACTGTGGAAGTCTCTAGACGTACTCCAAAAGGCCCAGCCTCCCTTGCAGGTTCCCAGCCTCTTTTTCATATGCCCTCGCCTTACCTGGGAAACCTCCAACTCAGACGCAGTAACCCACAGCAACCCCTGTCTTGGTCAGTCTACAGCTCCACTGTGGTCTTACCCTACATTCAGCCCTTTAACAGTGACAGCCATTGATCCAGGGGTGTTCTCCAGTTCAATGGTGCAGGATGCTTTAATTTTCTCCCTCTGTTTTTTTTTTTCCCGTTCCGCAGGGGGTAACCAGTTTAAGGAGCTGTCCACTTGACTGGTACGTCGGGATGCTGACTGCTGTGTTTGCTTTTCTCAACTCATGCAGTAGCCAGTCTCTTGAGTTCAGCAAGGTGTAGCTCTAGCCCCCGCTTTCCCTTCACTCACCACACAGGCCTCCTTTATGGCTCTTTTGACTCCTGCATAATTTCCATCGCCATCAAGAGCTTTTGTACTAATCGATGTTTAACTCGAAAATAACAAAATACAATACAGTAGTAAAGAACTGGTGATTTGGCAGCTTGTGTGAGAGAGTTCTGAAAAAAGCATTAGCTGAATCTCCCCGAGTTATTCCCATTCACACATAAACTAGTTGTAAATGATCCTGTTCCAGTTATGTGAGTCACATCTTGACATCCTGAACATTGACCAGCTCATATTTATAGATACACAAACCAACAAGGAAAAATCACGGAAGAAAGTCAAGGGGACAAATGTTCCTGTTCCTCTCTTCCCTCCCACACACTTCCCTTCAACTTCTGGCACCACCACCCTGAAATAATACGATTTCTTAAGAGGCACAAGAGAACATTTCCTTGAGTTTTTCTGTATCTCCCACATTCCTCTTCATACGCAAGGTGCTTCACATTTGACAGATGGTGTTTCCTATAACACTCAGAGTTTTCCTTTTTTTTTATTAAAAAAAATTTTTTTTTCAACGTTTATTTATTTTGGGGACAGAGAGAGACAGAGCATGAACGGGGGAGGGGCAGAGAGAGAGGGAGACACAGAATCGGAAACAGGCTCCAGGCTCTGAGCCATCAGCCCAGAGCCCGACGCGGGGCTCGAACTCACAGACCGCGAGATCGTGACCTGGCTGAAGTCGGACGCTTAACCGACTGCGCCACCCAGGCGCCCCCAGAGTTTTCCTTTTTTAAGTAAATGCAAACCGCGTGAAATGTTAAGACTGCGAAGGACATGAACGTCATGTTCCAAAGACGAGAGCACTCATCGCACTGAGTATTTCTCCTTTCCGTAGATGTGGCGCTCTTCACGTGGGAGATCACATCCTGTCCATCGACGGAACCAGCATGGAGTACTGTACATTGGCAGAAGCCACCCAGTTCCTGGCCAACACCACTGACCAGGTCAAGCTGGAGATTCTTCCCCATCATCAGACCCGCCTGGCCCTGAAGGGACCTGAGCATGGTGAGAAGGATCCATCTGGATAAATCTCTTTATCTTGCTTTTACAGTTACTGCTTCTCTCCCAGAATTAGAAGCAGAAAGACACAGAGGCTAATTCTGGCTTTATCATTTCTTTCAGAGCAGCGGGTTATCTTTTGTTTACTTTCCCTCGTCTCCCAGATCCTTGTTCCTGAGCCAAATGTAATTTATTTGAAACCTCAAAATTGAGGAAAGAAACATTGTTTGAAATAGAATTTTCAGGCTTGTGCTATTTGATATTTAAAAAAAAAAAAAAAAGAAGAAGAAGAAGAAGAAGAAGGCTTTGTTGCAAAGTGATTGTGAAGAGAAGAGGAATAATTTGACTTCCTGTTACGCAGAGTGAATGTCCACTCTACCTCAAGGACGGTGAAGGCAAATTATAAAATTCTCACTTTTTAAAAATAATTATAAAATGGGTATTAACGGCAGACGCTTCAAATTTGGGGAGGAGAAAACAGTTGTGTGCAAGGTTGACTTTCTCCACAGTTTGTCTGTTTGCCAGAATAGCTTTTTCCGTAGCCCTTCCATAAAGGAACGACCTTTATGATGAAATATCTTTCCTGGGCGCGTCAGAATATTTGACTGCTTTTATTCAGTAACAAGTGTCAGCTGAGGGGACCTGCATTTTCACTGTCTGAAGCTCACGGGTACATTTGCTAAGTGTTTGTACACCATCCACCTAAGCATCTTTAAACAAAACCCAGTACAAGAGAAAGGACTTGGAGCCCAAAATCACATTGAAGAAAGACTCTTCAAGGGGGTTCTTTGTTCCAACTCCTCTCTCCTTTCCCTTAAGTCAAGTGCCCCCCTTTTTTATTCCCTGAAATCGATCCCTTGAAGCTTCACTAGTGCTGTCAGGGGGCCCTAATGGAGAAGAGCACTTTTTTTTTTGTATGTTTAGAGAAAGAGAACAATTTTCTCCGGAATTGAAATTTTGTTTGTCAAGAGATCATTTGTATTATGTGTCTCCCACCTTCTGAAAGACACCGTGCTTTTCCACAGTTTGAAGAAAAAACAGAGGGACCGGTTAATTTTCATACTGAATGAGTCAGCTGGATGCAACCTTTTTTAATTAAATGGAGCTTAGACAGCCCTGGAGCTAATGAAAATCTCTAGTACAGCATTACCTTTATCAGATTTTAATTTTACACAATGGAGCCGAGAAGTGATGCAGTATAGGCAGGTTATGAAAAGAAAGTCTGCCTCATTTGCCTAGAAGTGGGAAGGGGCTCCAGGAGGTACAGGTCATGGGAATGCACACCGCTCCGGTCAGGAGACCCCTTGGGACACCCTGGCAGAGGGGAGAGATTTCTCAAACTCAGTTTCTTCTAAATTAATCTGAAGCCGTCACTGGATTTGGAGCACAGGAGGTATAAGGATATACACTGTGTGGCGCTTTCTCAGCATGAGATTTGGCTTGGTAAATCCTGCTATCGGTGAATCAGAAATATGGAGCAGACCCTTGCAAAATGTCATTATCTTCAGCAACCTCATTTTCCCCTTTTTATTTGCCCTGTATATAAATCATAAATAGTCCAAATAGTTTCCAACTCGTGAAATATTAAATATTTTTACCTGTCAAGACAATTTGAGAGGAATACTAAAATGCATGAAGACCAAGAACAAATTATTTTTTTTTTAATATGGAAGCCCTGTTGTCATTGTGACTTTTCAGAGGGGTGCAGGGTCGGGGCTGGTAATTTAAATAATTCAAGCTTCCATTTCTGACCCCATCATCTACTTTGGCTGAAAGTTGCTCATCATCTTTCTTCTCTAGCCTACAGGCATCTCCCTACAGTTTACATTAAAATCAGACTTGCATTTCCAAGAAGGCAAAAGTATTAGCTCCTAAACATAATTAAATCACAGTTAAGAATAGGGGGGAATGCCCCCCCAAATTATGTTGTTTGTAATTCTCAAACTTATGTTTTTTTCTGTGGTAGGGTGGTTTTACATAGTTTTTCCCTTTTTCCACAAGAGAGTTCTGGCCATCTTTTCAGGAAGCCTGATCCCTCGGGTAGATGGAAATATATTTCCCACATTTTGTTTCACAAGAAAGCATCCACCATAGTGTTTTCAGAGAAATAAAGAAACGGGCACATCAGCTAGGAAAAAAAGAGATTAACTGTGCCTTTTGCTGGTAAATAGCATTAATGGGGCACCTGGGTAGCTCAGACAGTTAAGCGTCCAACTTCGGCTCAGGTCATGATCTCACGGTCTGTGGGTTCAAGCCCCGCGTCGGGCTCTGTGCTGACAGCTCAGAGCCTGGAGGCTGCTTCGGATTCTGTGTCTCCTTCGCTCTCTGCCCCTCCCCCACTCAAGCTCTGTCTCTCTTTCTCTTTCAAAAGTAAATAAATATTAAAAAAAATTTTTTTAAATAGCGTTAAAAGTGCTTACAAGTATGAGCTCTCAATAAGATTAGACATTGTTCCTACTGAGGGTATTTGGGAGACAGAATCATGATTGAAGTTCATGAGACTTTGAAAGAGAAAATGGGAACAGAATCGCAAGGCTCAATAGAGTCAAGGCCTGGAAGACCTTCCATTTTTGAGTTCCAGGAGCAACCACAAAAGCAGCTGTTGCCTATGCCCCTCAGACATCCCAGACAGGGCAAGAGGGTACAGTTAGAAGAGAGAACAAACCAAAGGACCCTCCACGTCAGATACTTCTTAAGACTCCAACAGTGATGTCATCATGGAAGATGTAAAAAGTATTCTATTTTAACTTGCCGTTTATGTATCTGTATCAAATCTCGGAACGCCCGCAGGAGGCAGTGTAGTGCGGGTGGGCTGAAAGCAGGGATTCTTGAATCAGACTCCCAAACTTAACTGGGTGCTACCATCCTTAAATATGCCCGGTGATGTCCAAAGTCCTTAACGAACTGGGTCAGAGAGTGTGGATCTCTAAAGTCCATTCACTATACCCTGCCCTCATTTGAAACGCAGACCGTACTTTGTAAAAAAGGACATCGGAGTGGCTGTTGGGGTCAATGAGCCAGACCCAGCAATGATTGCATCTTGGTAAAAAGTCATCTTACACTCCCCAAAAGAGAATGAGGATGGGGAAAGATAACCCATTAGGAACTTCCCCTGCAACACTCTTTATCACGAGGGAAATGCTGCCGCAGTGTAGACATGCACACTCTGGCTGATTCCTATTCACTTATGCATTCATTGATTCATCAGTCATTATGGACTAGGCACTATTCTAGGTGCTACAAGACATCTAGTGAGGGAGACAAAGTAGATTCCCATCCTCGTGGAATTGCAGTATAGAGAGGCAAATATTTAAAATATGTTAAATAAATAAAGCCACTTCAGACTAAGTGAATAAGTACTATGAAGAACATAAAATACTAATGGGGTAGCATGGAGTCGGGCATATTCAGCCTGGGCTGGGGGGTGGTCAGAACAACTCTGAGGAGGTGGCAGCCCCTTAGCTGAGACCCGAAGGAGAAGAAGGAGTCAACCGACTGCAATCACGCAGTCAACTGGGAGAAGAATACACGAGGCGGAAAGAATGGCAAGGGCAAATGCCCTGAGGCAGGAAAGCAACCTGGCTTGTTCTAAGAACGGCAGTAAGACCAATGGTGGCTGAAACAGTCAATGATAGGGAGAGTGATAGGGGATAAGCCCGCAGAGATAAGTAAGGGTCACATTTGATTCTCTTTGTAATTGTACCCCATTGAAGTAGCTTAAATGGGAGTGACATGATCCACCTTATATATTTAAAGGATTACCAGGTCGTACAGATACTGGGAGGTAACTATGCAGTTGATGAAGTGGGGAGCCAAGTCTGTAGGTGTTGCAGAGGTTAGGTAGAGGAGGTGGTGGCTTGGAACTAGAATGGTGGAGAGGCAGATGGAACCCAAACCAGAAACAGCAGCGGCACAGAAGGAACCGGCTGGGCCACCTAGGGCTGTAGAATTATGGTGGCTATGCAAGTGATACTCTCTCAACCTAAGTGTCCAGTGAGTGAGATTTGTTGAGTGAGAGATACGTATTTCCTTCAAAAGATACTTTATTTGTTGGCAAGTAGAGCGAAAGTAGTCAGGATCAATATTATCCGTAAGAGTTCATCTGTTTTTATCGAGTGTACCGGCACCGTGCAAGCACCTTGCATATAGACCCGTGGGCATAATTCTCACGGTGGTCCTGCGGGGGCGATGCTTTCGTGGTCTCCATTTGACATGTGGGGAAACTGAGGCTAAGGGAGGCTGAGTAACTAGCCACGGTCCTATAGAGAGGAAGGGCTGGAGCCAGAACTGAAACCCAGGCCCGCCTCAGCCCACAGCGCTCTTTCATTGCTGGGGCTCTGGTTCCACGGGTAGCCTTACCCCAGAAAGGCTGTGAAGTGGCCAATGATGCTGACATCACAGACGGTACAACTTAAGCCCTTGTCTAAATGAGCTTCCTTTAAATACTTACGGAGCATTTGATTCTCTGCATGAATAAATACCATCAAATAACTCACATGTAAGGCACCTCACATTAGAATCATGATACTAAAAGGAGGTATGAGTTCATTTGTTATGTTTCACTCTTGTTCAGTGAAAAACTTCGGATCGGACATAGTAATGAACATGACCTTGCTCATCTTTCAGAACACCTGGTAGAAAAAAGTCTAAATAATATTGAAATTAGAATGGAAACGCACTACACATTTTTTTCAATAAAGGGGACACAAAAATTTTGAAATAGCTTTACTAAAATGTGGCATCTTAAGAAAATATAAGAACATGTGAAATCTTTTGAGAATTAACTGTTTCTTTCAAATGTAAACATATCTTTTTTCAAAGGTACAAAAAAGCATAAAATCTATTGAGACCTTTACTTATTAGGATACAAATATGATTCTGATATTGATAGATGATTAAGAGTGGGTTTTTTTTTTTGAGAAAAATCAAGTCCAAGTGATGGATCAGACTGTAATTAAAATGTCAGAACAGTAAATTGTGATATGTGACTGGTAAAGCACTTGAATCATGAGCCAGCATGATTTATTATTGTTCCTTCTATTCTTTTTCTCAAAACAAGTGCTACTAACTGACCAAGATGTGCAAATCTTTAATTACTAATCACGTGCCATAGATCTTTATGGCGTTGACTTTTAAGTTTAAAAAAAAAAATGTTTTTAATCTGGTCTGTGAAGCGCAGGGGGAGATTAGAAATTGATTCAATAGTCATTTTAAAAGAAGAAAAAATGGGCTGGCGAACGACATGCATTATTCTTGGGAAGATGGAAGGCTTCCATTCGTGATGTTAATCATCTGTTCTGCTGACCACTGAGAAAGGGCAAAGCCAGTATATTTTCTTTTTCTTTGCAAGCAGCTTTCATTTTTTTGTTACACTTTTTATTTGTACAGTTCAGTTACTTTTTCTTTTGTTTTGTTTTGTTTTTGGTTCTTTGTTTGTTTGTTCTTATTTGTCATCATCACCTCATGTGGGCAGTGAAAATTCAGAGGAGCGACAGGCAACTTGCGTGGGATTCCTGGGCCAGCGACCACTGCAGCCTTCACACCTACCAATACCCTAATGCGTCCCACCCCGACCGTTGCAGAGCTCAGGCCCTGCCAGCCCCAAAGGCGCCTCCTCCCAACAGCCCTCGTAATGTTCCAGACTTTCTCCTCCTGGTCTTTTGTGAAAATTATATTCTGCCTCTTCCTCATCTGATTCATACCATATTTGGCTTCATGGGTGCTATGTGCTTTTTTTTGTAATAGCAACTTATCGTTTCTGACATCTTTCTGAGTCTCTTCCCCTCCCGCCCTCCCCCCCAATCAGAAAGCATTTGTCATTAGAGAAGGATGTAAATGTTCCTAATGCTTTATATGTGGTCCGGAAATTAACAGTCCAAAATATGATATAGAATACGATGTGCTCAGAACTTCCTTGTGTGCTTGGAACCACTGTGAAATTCACGTCCGAAAAGATCTATGAACGATGCGTGTCTGTACTGGATGCACGGAGTTGTTGTTTACGCAGAAACGCGGTTTCATGTTTATCTCTGTGTGTGTCTAGAGCAAAATTCATAGAGCCTCCCTCTGGGTTGCATTGTGCTCAGGAGGATCGTGCTGCCCCTCAGGCAGCGGTGGGCTCTTGTAACTTTGAGATTCTACAGTGCCGTCTCCGTGGCTTCTGAGACCTGGTCTCTGCCCGGTCGGGGCACTGACTAGCCATTGCTGCCGTGTGTGTCTCTCGGGGTTGTCCCTGGCTGGCAAGGGTAGCAGGCTCACACCCCACCTGAGAATGCTCTGTGCCAAGTCTCCACTCTCTTACAGCAGCTTTGGTGTCTTCACCCTTCTCTCCTACCTCCATGAGTGCATACAGCCTGAGTTCCCTGAACATGGGGACTTTACCTCGAAGCCTCTACTCCACTAGCCCTCGCGGGACCATGATGAGGAGGAGACTGAAAAAGAAAGACTTCAAAAGCTCACGTAAGTGAAACAGTCACCGTTGTCTCATGGGCTGGAGAAGATAGGCGGGCTGGTCGGAGTCTGTGGGAAGAGTGTTTTCTGGTGCCTAAATGATCAGGTGGATGCTAAGGGGCTCCCAGCTCTATGCCAGAGGTCCCTGAAATGCTATCTAGTATCTACATGATACTGATTGCCCAGAACAATTTCAGACTGAATTAGTTAGTTTGTACTATCTTTGCCGACAACTTTTTGTTTGAAATTTCTTTTCTTGCTCTTTGGATCTGATACGGTAACCAAAGAGGTGATTTTTTTTTCCCCTTCAAGACTCCTTCCTTATATTCTGGGTGACTTTGGACATGAAACATTTGTTCTCAGTTCCTTACTCACTCCAAATCAATGGTTTGAAAACTATGTCTCCCTCCTGATAAATATAAGAAAGAACCCCATGCATCTGTTTAATATGATTATAACATGTAATCACTTCTCTTTCCAACCAGATCGAATCATAGTCTAGAGAGGTGGGAGTATTTCCTGTCCTATATGTCCCCTTTGGTGGCTGTAGTTGTGATTCCTATAGAGAAACTCAAAGAAGGTGGGGTCTCTTCCTGCACTTACCATAAAAATAAAATAAGGAACACCCTTAAGTTACCTAAGTAAAATAAAACCCAGACTCTTCAAGGCTGGAAGTGAAGAGAATGTTAGGAGAAGGGATGTTTGGACCTATTGGCTTTTCAGCTTGTTTGTCAGAGATTCATCTTCACAAGAGGACCCACCATGCCACCATCACGGAGACCAGCCACCACCCACCCTGGGAAATGGTCTCTTCATGTTACAGGAAGCTGAAGGTTTCCTTACAAAGAAAACCACTGCAAAAGATAGGGTCACACCGTGGTATAGTCATGATTTTGCCTTGCATATCCCTTCAAATATAAGGGGGTTTTTTCATCTTTAGTATATGTGCAGGACAGTAAATTTAAAAATAGGAAAATAGAAGGAAGGTTGAGTTTAGGTAAAATGAGAATAAACGGCTTCTGGAGTCTCAGATCTTTCTCAGCTGACACGAAAGTAAATTATTCAGTCTTGGAAGAAACTATTTGAAGGCAGTAGAGTGAAGTGGTTATAAGCATAGATGTGGGAACCAGGCTGCCCGTGCTCTCATCCCAGCATCATTGCTGTAGGACCTTGAGCAAGGCACCTAAGTTCTCTATGCCTCGGCCTCCTTAGCTACAAAACAGGGATTAATTACTTACTTCATTGGGTAATTGGGAAGATTATATGAAAGAATATATATATTCACACCACCAAAAGGGACATATGGGACAAGAAATACACTCTGTGAGGAGAATATATATTATTAAGTACATATTATGCGTATTATTTTAAAATTATATATATTGGGGCGCCTGGGTGGCTCAGTCAGTTAAGCATCCGACTTCGGCTCAGGTCATGATCTCATGATTCATGGGTTCGAGCCCTGTGTCAGGCTCTGTGCTGACAGCTCAGAGCCTGGAGCCTGCTTCAGATTCTGTGTCTGCTTCTCTCTTTGCCCTTCCCCCACTTGCACTCTGTGTCTCTTTCCTTCAGAAATAAATAAACTTAAAAATACATATATACATACATACAATAATATGTGTTAATACATGTACCTATATGTATATACATATTATACACATAGTTTATGTATGTGTTATGTATATAATTTTCTCAATTATATACTATATACAATATGCTATATACAATAAATACTATATATATTATATACATACGCTAGAACAACACCTGGTAAATGGTAAACACTATTTAATTGTTAGCCATTTGAATAGTTGAAGTGTTAGTTAGTATGCCTTGAATCTAAATTGCCATGTGTGAAAATCTGTTGACACTGTTCCCAACTTTAGGCATTTTTCACAGTGACTACTTTGGCATAATACATAGGTTCTGGGTCTTCCATGCAATGCCATCAGGGCTTGTGGTGGATTTTTGTATATGAAATTTTTTACAAGTAATGCCTTTGGGTGCCGCGTCCCTCACCGACAGCAACAGCCTAACCGCCCTCATCAGGGAAGAGCAATTAAAATGAATTCATTAATGTTTGTACTTCTGCTTGAATGGCTACACATTTGTTAGGTAAGACTCACTCTGTTGACTAAAGGCATCAGTGACTCCAAATGAGTGATAATATGCTTGGCTATCTCGGGTTGATATTTACATAGCTTGAATTTTACAGTAGGAAACAAAGCTGAGATCACGCTGTCACTGATCCCCATAATCAACTCAAATTCTCTTTTGAATCAGAAAGTTATTCTCCAACATAGTAGAAACAGACGCGTGACTCCAGAAATTGCAAGCTATTTGTGTTTTTCGGAGGCATCGGCCACCAGGGCACCACTGACCGTATACCTACCAGAATGTTTATGAAAGTGTCTCAGGAGATCACACATTTTATATTGTGATGATGATAGCATTCCAAAGCCAGAAAAAAGTAATTGCTGTTTTTGTTTTTTTGTTTTTCTTAAGTTTCTCTTCTCTCTCTCTCTCTCTCTCTCTCTCTCTCTCTCTCTGCTTCTGGTATGGTCACATTCGATGTAAGGGTTTTCCCAAAGAACTGATAATAAAAGTTTTATTATGCTCTCACTATACCATGGTTTATTTCCACCACTTTATTTATGTCTTTATTCTGTGCCACCTTTTGCTGTCCCCTTGCTAATACTTACGTTTCCATGGCAACCAGGCCATTTGTATGGACGATGAATCATGGCAAAGTCACAACAAATACGATAAAAAGTCTCTTCGCTGTACTGGTGATGAGGTGAGGCCAGAGCCTACAAAACAGAAAAAAATTCTCACATATGTTTCTGGTACAAAAGGACATGCCAGAAAAGAATTGAAGTCGTCTCATAAATATTGAAAGATTCTGTATCATTGACCGGAGGGGCGAATACAGGAAGTCTGTAACACCATGTTACAAGAATTAAAGCAGGAAAGTGCCGTGTTTGTTTCACAGGGAGAAGGATGAGTATCCCCAGCACCAGGCTGGGAGGAGTGTCACAAAGCCCTGGAAGGATTGCAGAGCTGTGTCACAGAGGGAACCCTCTTGTCAGCTCTTCTGGAATCTTACTGACCTTTGCCCCACAGCCTGGGCTGTCCCTTTTTCTGCCTCAGAGGCTAAGGCTCTTCCCAGAACCCCGTCATCCCCCTGTGATGGCAGCATGACTGAGCAGCAGACCCGGTTCCTTCCCCCTGCTTCCTGCTTCTGCACACACAGCCAGTGTAGGCTCTGCCTGTTCTCAGTCCACCTGAATTGCAGCCAAGCGTAGAAGTTAGATGACATTCCCAGAATAGTCTTTGCCTCTTTTGCCATCACCGTGTACTACTAGGGAGGCCAACATGGAAAAGAGTTGAAGAGAATGAAAAAACCTAACAAGTTTTGTCCCTGCCACCAACCACTGAAAAAAGATCGGAGGACAAAGGCAGCTAATGGTGAGCTTTTATAAGTGAGCATGCAGGGAGCCCTTCAGGGAACAGCCTAAGAGCTGCCCGCCCCACGAGCTGACCCCCATCTGGAGAAGGGAGCTGTTGGACACCCACACCGTGCGCCTGAACTGGATCACACGGTGCACAGTGGGCTGGATCCCCAGCAGGCCGACTGTAAGGGGAAATACTTGAGTGACACAGAGGTCTTGGGTTACAGGATCAAATAATGGTGAACACCATATACGGATAAACCTTTGCAATCCATTGCTCCCTATACTTTTTAAATGCTTTTCCTATCTGACAGTTAACCTCACAGCCTTCTAAGAAGGCAGATTTTTAAGCTTTAGAAGCTAACAAGTTGTTTCTGGTTTTCCTCCCTTCCTTACACTAGAAAAGACAAGAATTGACAAAAACCACAGGGTCATTTCCTGCAAACCTGAAGGGTTGCGAACAGAACCCTCCAAACGTGAACAGGAGCAGGACAGAGCAGATGCGGATCGTGAACACAACCGTGGGGCCCACACCATTTAGCAGTGTTCACAGCATGTCAGTGATTTATTTAGTCCTTTCCTTCCTCTCCTGTGAGTAGAAGAAATGGGCGCACTTCAGTTCAGAGCCAGGACCTTGCAGGAGTCTCTACTACCGGAGAGAGAATTCATCATACAAATTTTTAAATTACGGCATTATAATTCATACTAATTCGCCTTTGTGAATGGTTGGCCACATTAATGAAGCAGGATAATCAAGCTCATCTTTTTTTCCTCTGAGTAATATTGGTTGCTTTTCTTCTTCTGGCTCGTCATCTTTAAGTCTACCGTTTATCTTTTTCATGTCTGGTTATAATTTGCAAGACTTTAATTTGTGTGAGTAATCAGTACGTACGACTCCAAATGAAATTTTACTGTTTCAAAGAACACTTCAGTGTATCAAAGGACTTTCAGAGTTAATTATAAAATCCTAGATTATGTAATATAATCCTACATTTATTAGATACATTGTAAACTTTTATAATTATAAAACCAATATTTAACATAATTCTAATCCTAAATTAAAGGTCCTAATAATTTCTATTGTCTCAACTTGACTCCAGATGGCGCTTACAAATTTAATGGTGCCCACAGTGAGCACTTAGATCTATTTTCAAAACCTTCTAGAGAAGTCCGTTTCTGAACTATCTTCTCTAACTGTTGCAAGAACACAGCAAGTCTCTCCTTCAAGAAGATCTTTACTATATCTAGCCTAATCTATTCCTCCTATTATGATTGACCCATTTCTTCTTAATCCTCTCAGTGGAAATGGCATTTAGCTGACTTAAAGTTTCCAAAGTGGTTTTTAACTCCAGTTAAGTTGTCCAAAAATCTATACCAAACTGAGATCTCTGATGAAAAAACTGTGTATATTAATGTGAACCTATAGAAAAATTCACAGAAAGTATTCCTATTGAAGTAAGAAGTAATAGAAGATAGAATGGAAGTAATCTGCCAAATAGGGGATGTCCTAATATTATATTCCTGCCTACTATGAGAACAGACTGGAAAGAAATGCAACTCTCCGGATCCATACTAACTACTCCTGGTGGCGGTTCTGTGCCATCAGGAACAAAATGTGTAATCTGGAGAGCAGGTAAAGTACAGTTGACATCAACAAAGCACACTAGAAAGTGTGATCTGAATGAATATAGTCCATGTGTCGGATCTTGGAATTGTAGGCCACCAGCTGTAAGAGGCTCAGGGTTGGAAGCTACCTTTACCCCCTACTTCAGGCTACTTTAATCTCATCGATGTGAATTTTGTTGTGAGAATTATGATGATGTTTCTTAAGAAGAAGTCGATTTTCCTTCCTTCTAGACAAACGATCTATCGCATCCTCCTCTGCCATGTCAGCTACAATGTTGGGATGAACTACATAGTGGAAAAATTGGGGTCCTGAGGGACAACTTTCTAGTTCCTTAACTCAGCAGAACCTGCATGAAATGTTGGTTCCAAAACGAAAAATGTGGATAATATCACAAAACTCAATTCGTTCTTCCTTTATTTAGTGTTCATTGAATGTTCCGGGCATTGGGATCTCAAAGAGGAAAAGATCTGGGTTCCAGTCTTTAAAAACAAGGATGCTGAATGCTGAAGTAGGACCACGTATTAGAAATGTGGAGATGTAGGGGCGCCTGGGTGGCGCAGTCGGTTGAGCGTCCGACCTCAGCCAGGTCACGATCTCGCGGTCCGTGAGTTCGAGCCCCGCGTCGGGCTCTGGGCTGATGGCTCAGAGCCTGGAGCCTGTTTCCGATTCTGTGTCTCCCTCTCTCTCTGCCCCTCCCCCGTTCATGCTCTGTCTCTCTCGGTCCCAAAAATAAATAAAAAACGTTGAAAAAAAATTTAAAAAAAAGAAATGTGGAGATGTAGACGGGGAGTACCTAACTCTGCCTGGAGAAAGCAGGGAAAGGGACATTGAAAGCCCAGGGGAAGAGCTAAAGGGACGGAGGGATGTAAGCAGGGCTGCAGCAGATAGGCAGGAGACTGGATAGGCAGGGGACATGAACTTATGAAGGTTCCCACGAGCTCTGTTAGCACTGGGGTGGTGGTTCTATAGAAAACAGGGAGGCGTTGAAAGGGTCTAAATGGGAGGATGACCTCTGCCCATTAGATAAGCCACTCTGGCAGCAATTGGGAGGCTGTTCGCATAAGACAAGAGGCAAGGACATGGTTCTAAGTCTATATACTGATCTGTATTAGCAACGATGAGGCCCTACTTTAGAGAATAGATACACTGGGGGCCTCATCATGAAGACAAAGTTAACCTGGCAAGTTGATATGTAGAAAATGTTGGGCATGGGGCGCCTGGGTGGCGCAGTCGGTTAGGTGTCCGACTTCAGCCAGGTCACACGATCTCGCGGTCCGGGAGTTCGAGCCCCGCGTCGGGCTCTGGGCTGATGGCTCAGAGCCTGGAGCCTGTTTCCGATTCTGTGTCTCCCTCTCTCTCTGCCCCTCCCCCGTTCATGCTCTGTCTCTCTCTGTCCCAAAAATAAATAAAAAACGTTGAAAAAAAAAATTAAAAAAAAAAAAAAAAAGAAAATGTTGGGCATGAAAGGACCAGAAACATCCATATTCTCGTATTTGAAATAAACTAAACATCTGAAATACAAATAATAAAAGCCTGGACTGAAGTGTTAACAATAAGAAGGGAAAAGAGGATTTATAGAAGTTAGATTTCAGTGGTCATCCTGAAAGGACTTAGCCATTGTCTTGATTGAATTTGAGACGATGGGGATGTTCTGAGTCAAAGGCTACTTTGAGATTTCAGGCCTGGTGGACCTATAAGCATGATGGTCCCATTCATAGAAACCGTAGGGGGAGTGCAAAAGAGAGGGTGACTAACTCAGTTTTTCAAATGTTGAGTTTCGAGGAGTCAGTGAGACCTTCTTGTGGATGGGATATCCACATCAGGAAATTCATCCCTGGAGCTTGAGAGAAACTGGAGAGGTAGATTTGAGAAGATACGCGCAGAGGTCATATTACAGAAGCAGTAGAAGTAAATGAGGGAAAGGAGAGTAGAGAAGGCTTAGAAGAGAACCACAGGGAAGTCTACGTTTGCCGTGTAGACTAAGCAAAGGAACTGGGAGGGGCTGAAAAAAGTCAGAAACTAAGAACGAACCTTCACTGAAACCAAGAGAGCAATTTCAGAAAGAAAAGGATAGTTCCCAAGCCACTTGCTGCAGAGTAGTTAGAGCAGAAGATGGCCATTGATTTTGGCAGTCAGGAAGTCATCAGTGAGAGTAGTTTCAGTAAAGGGTGAAAGGAGAGGCCAAGTTTTAAGCAGGCCCAGAATCAGTACAAACCCATGGGGAGAGGTCAGAAAGCTAAGGGAGTGAGCAGGAAAGTTGGAAAAAGCAAGAGAGAAGTATTTATGACACAAAATCACAGGGAGCCGAAATGGACAGGACCAGAAAGGAGGAGGTAGCCTTGAAATGGAAAGAAGGATACATCCTCCTGGGAAAAAGAAGGAAGTTAGAATAGATGATACAGAGAAATGGAAGTTGAAAAGAATGCTTTTAAGGAACTCTTGTCAAATGGCTGGATCTTTTCAGTCTGGTAGGAAATGAAGTCAGGAGTCAAGTTTGATCCTTATAATGGTGGAAATGTTTGAGACAGATCCCGTGAGAAATCAAATAAGGAGCCAAAGTATTACACAACAGAAAATTCCAGGGCCCCATAGAGGATTGTGTGAATGTGTAGTGACTTTCTCTAGCACCCATCAGCAACTTAGTAAGAGCACGGGAGTGGAGTGGGCATTACCAAAGAATATTGAGTATTAGACTATAGAAAATGTCATGAGCTTTCAGCATCTCTGATTCCAGCGGCTGCATCATTGAAGTGGTCACCAGGGATCCAGGGGGAGTATGGAGGGAAACGATGCTAGTAAAAGGCAATACATAAAGACGGTAGCTTTCAAACTGGATTCCCCAGATTCCCACAGGAGGGATGGGAAGGCCTCCTCTAGGGTCTCCCATTCCTACCTCAGTATCTTCAGTAGCTCTGTTTTTATCTGAAATACAGACATCCCTTACATGCTTTCATTTGAAGAGGGGTCAGGGGGAAGCTGTTGCTAACAAGTTTGCAAACCACTGGACTGGAAGACAGGTGAGAGAGAGTGGGGCTAGAAGGTCATCAAGGAGGGAAAATGAGGTCGGAAGGACGGGGGGGAGATGGCTATTAAGATTGCGTGGTCAACAAAGAGGATTCAGATATGAAGATCCCAGAGCGGTCTCCAGGTTGAAGGATGGTGGGGTCCAACACAGGGTTCTGCTGATAGAGAGCTGAAGTCGGGTGGAATTGCTAATAATCAGCACTGAGAGACCCAAAGAAGCACAAAGCCAGGCGTTCAATTATTGCCATGATGTCAAAGATACTGAGGACATGGAAAAGCGACAGGCTAGAAGGGGCAAATTAAGAGCCGAGTCTGAAGTCAGTGAGGAAATGGGGGGAAACAGGAAAAGTAGAACATCATGGGTTTGAAGAGGAGACAAAGCAGAAATAAGTAAATAATACAGAACTTTAAAATAGGAGTGGTTTGGGGCGCCTGGGTGGCTCAGTGGGTTAAGCATCCGACTTCAGCTCAGGTCACGATCTCACGGTCTGGGAGTTCGGAGTTCGAGCCCTGCGTCGGGCTCTGGGCTGATGGCTCAGAGCCTGGAGCCTGCTTCCGATTCTGTGTCTCCCTCTCTCTCCGCCCCTCCCCCGTTCATGCTCTGTCTCTCTCTGTCTCAAAAATAAATAAACGTTAAAAAAAAATTTTTTTTAATAAAATAAAATAGGAGTGGTTTAAGGTAAAAAGCACTGCATGTGTGGAGCACGGAAGGTTCTAACCCTTTCTCTGTCCTTGTCCCCTGCAGGGAGAGTGAAAGAAAATAGCTTCTGGGTGGAGGGGTTTCTGAGGTATATGGTGTCAGCAGGTGTCAATTGCAGTAAGGAGGCCAGACTCTTTTGGAGGAAGTGACAGTCCCACATGGGACCCTGCAGAGAGCTTGCTCACAGAAAGCAAAGGAGGCGCAGGTCCCAGTGGGCATCAATGAGAGAAAGGCATCGGGGAGTGGAGTGGCCTTTTCATGACCCGCCAGAGATCCAGTGGGAAAGAACAAAGGCTAAAGAGCCAAAATTTGGGGATAGGAGAAATAGAAAGTTTAAACGACTCCATCAAGCCAACCCAATGCTAGATTAAGGTTGACGACCAACACGTCCTCGCCATTCCAAGAGCAGGACTCTTCAAAGCTACAGACCAGATTGTTTATAAAAACCTTAAGGCTTAGGCACAAATGGATAGAGTGGAAAACACATTAGACCAGTTAGCCGAACCCTTTTTTTTTTTTTTTCATAGATAGAAAAGAAATCAATGCCTCCGCCCCTCCCAAGGTCACACAGCTGGTTGCCTACTGGTAGAGTCAGGACCAGAACCGACATACCCAGTCCCAAGGCCATCCTCTTCCTACAACCCCCACAACTATCCCTGGTATGGGGGCCACCCTGGTGTTGTGACTGATAGATGACAGACATCAGGAGACTCCTTTATGTGGTTCAGCTCTGACTAAACTTATTTCAAGGAGACCAAAATATCCCACCATTACCAATGAGGTTTTTTTTTAATTTTTCCTTCTTTCAGAGACATAATCTGTGTCAGCAAGGCCGGCGTCTCTGGTGCTTGCTCCAACCTAACATCATTGTTTTTCGTGTTTGTTCCTCCAGTGTCTTTAGCCTCGAGCACAGTGGGCCTGGCTGGGCAGGTCGTTCACACAGAAACCACAGAAGTTGTGCTGACAGCCGATCCCGTCACAGGATTTGGGATCCAACTGCAGGGCAGTGTGTTTGCCACGGAGACGCTCTCTTCGCCACCTCTGATTTCCTATATTGAAGCTGACAGCCCAGCCGAGAGGTAAGACACTCCTTGACTGCATCCTTTTCTGTGCCCGGTATCTTTGAATAGCTAATAACTTAGGGAACAGGGCTCAATGCAGGAAATGCAGGATGTGATGAACTCTCCGTTCCGACAGTAAAATTTTACGTTCTTGATAAGGTTTGAGAAGAAAAATGAGCGTGGATGCCTTTATCTAGCAGATTGTTGTCTGGCAGGGACTGGAGGCTGTATTAATTAAAAAGGAAAATATCTCTGAAGTTCCAACTTTATTATAATCATTCCTCTGCTGTGGGGAGCTGTACATTCATCACTACTATATATTGGTTCAGATCAGATTAAAACAATGCCATAGTTTTAAATTATTTGTTCCTTCTCTGGGGTACATCAACATTGCCTGGCTCACATCTGGAGCCATCAAACACAAGAGTGCAAGACCTTGCAGTTGACCTAATACGATGCCCACAGCATTGAATGAACAAGACCGAATGGTTACGCTATTTCACAAGGATCAAACAATACAGATTTGGCAACTTCAACTTGATAATTACTTACTCTGGCTACAGTCTCTAACATGTGGTTCTAAATATAGATGTGGGGTGCTACAGATTGGAGACAGAGTGATAGCCATTAATGGGATTCCAACTGAAGACAGCACCTTTGAGGAAGCCAACCAGCTCCTCCGAGACTCTTCAATCACGAGCAAGGTCACACTGGAAATCGAGTTTGATGTTGCAGGTATGGTCATATAATCGCGAGTCAGCTGCAGAGTCAGGAGTGGACCGCATGTGAATTATATGGATTGTGTGTCAGATGGGGAGCTATTTTTTTTACCTACTGAACATGTTTTTGTTTAGGAGATTTGGGGTGTCATTTTGTATTGAGCATTACTTTTGTGCTGTTCGTTAAAATGTCACCATAAGAACAGATGAAAATAAATGTGACAAAGTGAATAAGTATTAGCTGCTATAAAGGTGATTTTAAAAAATCACGTAGCCTTTATTCTTCCTGATTTTCCCCTATATGCTCAAGAAACCATATTCTTCTGTCACGTGGATGAGAAAAGCCTGTCTTTGACCCTTCCCACTGCAAAGAACATGTGGAAGTTTGGTAGGGAACAATGAAAACGCATTAGGTGGATTTATACAAGCCCAGCAGGTAAATAATTCATTCTCTAGTGTGAAAAAGAAATTGCACCGGACACTTGTTAAAAACAAGGAAGACTTTATTCAAGACTATTTCAAGAGAGATCAAGAGTTGGAATAGGGAAGAGAGATTAAACTCAATCCCAAAGACAGTATGGGCAGGTGGGAATTTATGGCCACCAAGCAAGGTGAGGGTAGGGAGTCATGGAATGAAAAATTACTAACAGGAACTTGATTAGATATCAAGGGGGTGGGAATGAGGAATTTGATTGTAGATTCCAGGGTGGGGGGGGAGTCTCAACAACCTGAGTTAGCAGGATTCTCGCTAAAACTGGGCTCAGCAAATCAAAGATAAGGCCTCGTTGAAAAGAGGACCCAGAGGAGCCTAACTTAAGTTTGATCGGGAAGGGAATCCTTGTCAGTAGCTAACAGGTGTGTGGATTTTAGAGGTCGCTGCTAGTTTCCATTTAATGAAATAGTATTCATACAGTGATATACCACTTCATAGAGCCAACAATCTTTACCAACTGGTAAAGATATGCCTTTGGACGTAGGGATTGCATCTTCCCAGCAAATGCTTGCTGAGTGTTTACTGTGGGCCAGCTGGAGATGCAGCAGTAGACATGGAAGAAAAAATAACTCCTTCCTTCATGAAGCATATAGTATTACAGAAAGTTGATTTTTAAGTTAATGAATATAACTTTAGACAGTAATAAGTGCTCTGGGGAAAAGAAAACAGGATGGGGATGAGAGAATGGCTGGGGGGAGCTATTTTCATGGGATGATTCTCTGAGGAAGTGACATTTGAGCAGAGATTTGAAGGTTGGGAAGGAGCCAGCTTCGTCCTGGGAGGAGGGTATTCCAGGTAGAAGGAACAGCCAGCGTAAAAGACATGGGCCAGATTAGTAAGATGGATGGATTTGAGAACCAACGGAAAGGGTTCTCACTGCAACATAAGGAAGTTGGGGGTGACGATCACGTTTGGAATTGGAGATGGGGTAATAAGAAGGATTGGAAGGGGCCAACTTAAGATGTGGCTTGAAGCAGGACTAGCAGAACTTGTTTATGGAATGGATATGGAAAATGAGAGAAAGGGAAAATCATGGATGACTCCTGAGGTGTAAGAGTCAGCAATCAAGTAAAGAGTGATGGCTTTAAGGGAGAGGAAGACTTGAGGAATGGAAATTTGAGGATAACAACAAGTTCTGTTTTATGCGAGTGGGTTAGGGGCAGAGAGAGAGGGAGACACAGAATCCGAAGCAGGCTCCAGGCTCCGAACTGTCAGCACAGAGCCCGATGCTGGGCTCTAACTCACAAACCGTGAGGTCATGACCTGAGCCGAAGTCGGTCACTCAACCAACTGAGCCACCCAGGCACCCCGAACAAGTTCTATTTTAGACATGACTAGGCAAATCCACTGCCAGTTCTAGGGGGAAAGGGACAAGCACATCCATTCCTTAGTTCAGAAGACAACTATCGAGCACCAGTTACTCAGTGCTAGGCACTGTGCTATGTTCAGATCATTTAAAGGGAAAATAAAAAGGATTAATATCTTCAAAGAGCTCAGAGTCAATTAGACAAGAGCAAGATCTGCTAAAAGATAAGAATAGACTTACTGAATGTGTGTTGCCACTGGAATATGAAAGGAAGTGCCCGATGGGGGATCTGGGCCAGAGAGCAGCCTTGAGGAGGAACCACCATGTCAGTGACTGGTGAAGTCACTGAAATACAGGAGACCACTAAGGAACGAGTGGCAGGAAGGAGGGGATGCTGCCTGAGGAATTCTAAGATGGAAAGGGGAAGGATGCTAGCCAAGGAAATAATGTAGGTGGATTATGAGAAGTGAAAGGAGAACCCAAAAAAGGTAGCATTTTGGAAACCAAAACAAGAACTTCAAGGTCATGATCAATAGCATAAAGGGGCTTCAGAGAATTCAAGTAATATAAGGCAAGAAAGGTCCATTGGATTTGGCAATTCAGAAAAAAAGACATTGCAGAGTATATTCAGGGAGTTGGGGGACAGGAGTCAGACCACAGAAAGCCGAGGAGTGAGGAATGGGCAGAGAAATACAGGCAGGCTATGCTTGCTTTCTGCCAATGAACTGGGTTTTGAAAGAGGGTAACTAGAAAAATGCAGTGAATGGATAAAAAGGACAGAGGCCACTGTGGCCTCTTCTTGTTTGAAAACTTCTACAGCATTTAATTACATACTGGACACTCTATTTTATTCTCTAATCAGTGGTTCTCAGTCAAGATCAGTTTTGCCCTGTGGAACATTTGGCAATGGTAAGAAATTTCACTGTGGGTGAGAAAAAGATGGGGTAAAAGATAAAAGATTCGGAGTTCAGAGGGGAGTTATTTGTTTTGTTGTTTTGTTTTGTTGAGATTGGAGAGATCTGAACATGTCTGAGGCCTGAAGTGAATGAGGGAGAAAAAAGATAATTGATGGATATAGGTCCCTAAAGGGATGAGCAGAGAAGTTGTCTAGAACACAGGTAGATAACTAGTCTAAGACAAAAAGGTTGATGGCCGCCTCTTGTGAGTTTGAAGAGAAGGATGTGAGAATATAACTATTGAGACATTCATGTAAGAACTGTCAGGCAAAGGTAAAAGGATCAGCATCTTGGGGAGTTGAAAAGAATGATGGTTTAGAATAGCTAATGGGGAAATGACTGAGAAAGCTAACCAGACCCATGTACAGGGATTTTCCAGCTGGGTGGTGGACCATGTAAAGTCCAGAAGCTCTAAGTTAATAGCACTGTCAACCTGCACGGCCAAGTAGTTTTTTGTCAGGTGGCCTCAGCTACTGAAGAGTAACAGCAGAGGTGCTAGGTGATTAGACTGAACCAGAGATTGAGATTTCCAGAGAAGGGTCAACAGAAAGAAAACTAAAGTCACAGCAGTTCAAATTGTTGCAGGAAGAACAGATGAATAACTATAGTAATAACATCAAAATCATGGTAATACTACGAAATGCTTACTCTATGGCATGTCACTCTTCTAAGCATTAGCTCACTTATAACAGCAATGGAGGTTACTATTATTTTGTCGCCAGAAAACTGAAGCCCATGGAGTTAATGGTAGGGCTGGGATTTTCACCCAGACGGTCTGGCTCCTAAGGCCATGCTCTAACCACTACACATACTGCCTTGAGGGAATCTAGGCTACAGATGGATGGAAGTCAATAGTGGATCATCATGGTAGACTGGGAAGAAAGAGAGGACTCGAGGGCTTAGGAGTATTCAGCAAGAAAAATGGGCGTAGTAAGAGAAAGTTGAGGAGGGAGCTAATGGCGGGAGGCTGAGGTCAAAGTGGCATATTAGAGCTTAGCATTTCAGAGAAGGTCAAGTAGGGCTCAGGGTAGTGAGCTGCTGAAGTGAAGTAGAAGGGAGGCGAATATTATTCAACGAGAGGTCTGGGAAATTGGAATGCAGTGTGATGGAAAGAGCATCCACACAGTGGAATCTCCCAGAAGGAGGGCAGGACTTGGAATGAGAGTGTATGAACTAGCTGCTGTTGACATGCTGAATACAAGCCCATCAGAGGATCTTTGCAGTTTCCCCTGCCTGAGTGGCTCTTCCCTCCCACATTCAGGTGGTTTGCTTACTTCATTCAGGTCTTTGCTCAAATATCACTCGTTCAGGGAATCATTCCCTCACCATAACACTCTGTTCCTGTGCCTAGATTTATGGTTCTTCTTAGCCTTACTCATGCTCTGATGTTATATTGTGGATGTACCTATTGTCTTATCTTCTCCACTGGAAGAATATCTATGATGTCAGGGACTTTGTGCCTTTTGTTCACTAATGTATCCCAGCACCCAGAATAGTGCTTGGAATACAAGAGCCTCTCAGCCAATACTTGGTGAATGAATGAGTGAATGAATGAATGAAGTGCATTTGTCTCTCCTGAGGGACTGGATCCAGGAACCTCAGTTTGCATCAAGAGCTGATTTCAGGGGTGCGTGGGTGGCTCAGTCACTTACCCTTCTGACTCTTGGTTTTGCTCAAGTCATGATCTCACAGTTCGTGGGTTTGAGCCCCACATCAAGCTCGGTGCTCACAGCCCAGAGCCCGCTTGGGATTCTCTCTCTCTCTCTCTCTCTCTCCCTCCCTCCCTCCCTCTCTCTCTCTCTCTCTCTCTCAAAATAAATAAATAAACTTAAAAAAAAAAAAACTGATTTCATATCCACTATTTCTCTGGAGTTCCTGGTCTCTCGGTGTTGCTTGTCTCTGCGTATCTGCTCCATTTGTCTCTCTACAAGTTTTTTCTGGCTTTTGATTGTACTTGATTGCCCCATCTTTGCTAAAGGGCCCAGCCAGTGCCAGCCAGTTCAAGTTTCTAATTCTCAGATTTGTTAGCTTCCCCGTCTTGTCAGCTGTGACCAAGCAGGAATCTGGTAGAAGGACCCTGTAAGGATCAGTCAGATGTTGACGAGGGTGTGCTTTTCAAAGAAGGCTGTCCAGCAGCCCCAGAATGTATTACTACAATCACAGAACATTAGTGGTGAAGGGACTCTTACAATCCAATACCTTCATTTATTTATAAATGGAGAAACTGAAGTTTGAGCGGGGAAACTCAAGGTCATAGAACAAAGTAGACT